TTACAACCACCTGTGAAATAAATGTACTCTTGCTCTGGAGCATGTTACTGAATATGTTAAATCTGTAGAGAAATGCTTCCTCTATCAAGTAGTTATTAAAAATAAAAAATAATGAGTGAAAAAATAATAATTTCAATGGTAATATTTTTCACGTCTACTAATTATTAAGGAGGAAATTTTTATGCTTTGAAGAATTTTTTTTATTTATTTATTTTTACAGCCACTTCCCAGATAGTGGGTGTCCCATAGCCTCCCTCCCCCCACTAGAGCCCTAATACTCTGATATCCCTGCTATTTTCTGCTGTGTTGTCGGCACCCCCAGCCATTCCCCACTACTTGCCCTTCTGGTGAATGTAGTCAGCCTATCTAGAGGTCTTTGTTTTAGGAAGGTCATCTCTTCCTCATCTAGCAGAAATCAGTTGTCAATATTCCTTTAGATAAGATTGGGGTTTGCTGTTCATTTTCCCAGTTCTATGCTAGGTTACTATCTGGAAATCCTTTGGGCCACACTGGCGAACAACTCAAAAGAAGGTATCGCCTTTCTGGTATTGTAGCTTGTTATGTATCCTTCAGCTATACATATGGACTCTTATGAAATTACATTGGCACCTTTAATCTTTGGTTATAATTTCCATTTGTGTGTTTAAGGCCATACAGTTGGTCCAGAATAAACCGATTTACTTTTACTCTTAAAGTCGTTTGAGGATCTCTTCCTCAGGGGTCACATGGGCTTGGGAGGAGCCCCTGGCTCATTTCTTTTACCAGTTCTGCCTATGTGTAGGTAAGTCAAAGGTCCTGCTCAACCATGGTTGGCTTCGCTTGGAAGCATGGAGGAAATGATTCCTCTATGTTGACCCTCTTCTTTATAGACAGGACACTGCTTCAAATCCATCTGGTGGGGCCTCCTCGGCCTCCTTGATCAAGAGGACAGGTGACCCACCACCATTATAGGACATTTTGAGAGATGCTCATAGTCCCCTGGAACTAGTCGACCTAGGAGGGCAAGGAGGAAAAAGTGTCCTTTATGGCCCTCTGACCAAAATAGTATAGGCCTCAAAGTATGTCTGTTAAACACCCTAGAAGGTAGTTCCACCAGTCTGGTATTTTTAGTCCCCTGGAACTAGTCGACCTAGGAGGGCAAGGAGGAAA